TGTTTCGCATTTATGCTTTTGTCCTAGGAATAATGACACTAGAGCTTAAATTCCGTACGGAATATTTATTATTCCGCGTCATACACTGCGGTGTGAGCACAGTTGCGCATGAGGTTGATTATAAAACACGGGCTTCATGTCATAATTTGCTATCATATGTGTTCCGTCTAAGGAAATTACAGCACACACTGTAAGTCAGTTTTGTGGAGTATCTAATTATTTTTTGGGTTCATCGGCGTTGAATTCTCTTAATAGCCTTTTCGTGGGAATTTCGCATGATTGTGCGCCCCATGAAGCAATATAATATGATTTGCAGTACGTATGCTTTTTACAGTTGAAGTCGGGACTTACGAAGTGAGAAAGAATGATAAACAAATCCAACCATGTTTCCTGCCTTTGATATATGGAAAGCACACCGCTCTGAGAAGTTGAACTTTGTGAATACCGCAAGCCGAGGTCAGCTAGTAACGTGCATTCAAAGATGTTCATCCCATGGTAGGTAAGGCTGTTTGGTGGAATGGGACCCTCATACTATAGGATATTCACTTATCTGCGACAAATGACATTTGTCACAAGTGACACCAAGTTTCAAGACCTGAAATAGCGTCTTGAATGTGTCATATAACCTCCCGTGCATCCCTATCGCTGTGAGTGTAAACGACCTTTATGTCGTCTGCAATGAAGAAAGGAGTGCTATCGGAAAATATTACGAACGTAAACGCTGCAAACGAACCCACCATGGGACATTAACCGATGTGCCAAGCACTGACAGCGGCTTGGTGACGTGTCAGGGAAGTATTTCTTCGGTGGCTTCTAGGTTTCTGGTTAGAGTCAAGGTTCTGTTACCCCGACTAAGAGACGGCTACTAAGCGTGAACTAGCAGTGTAGAGCAGTGTTTCAAGCACGCAACATCGCATACGTATTACTTTTTAAGGTTTTTTAACGGTGTTATGGACAATTAACTTTGGATGGTGGCTTATTCGACATTTTGTTATTAGAATCGCTCCTTATTGGTACACCATCATCCACTAGGCACTTCCAGTGCGTTCGGCCTTTCGTGGCACACATTTGTCCAGTTCGATCAAAAACCGTAACTGTCTGATCTTGTGGGGATCTGTCATACCGAAAGTACTACTCTGCTGCGATGGCTGCTGGAGTAAGACGAGCATTAAAATTTAGGTGTTACATTCAAGTACCGGAGAGAAAAAAGCTGAATGAATCAAAACTGTCAATTTCTAACTTTCTTGAAACTGTTCTTAACTACCTCGAACAACTTGCTTTTTCATATAAATCAGCGGACGGTAGAGGAAAACGAACTGCGCTCCTCAAGACAATGATTTTAGGTGTGTCGGATACACTGTAGTATAGTTTGCGTTTCTCCCCAAACCTGAGCAAATCTCTTTGAATTTCCGCAGGGAACCCTGAGGTTTGGACAATTTTCGGATGATCAAAAGAATTGTGTTCAGATGCAACTGTAGCTACCGCACATGTTAGTAGTTTACTGCTTGGTACAGTGATTGAAATAGGCGCACTGAGAAGAAATCATATATCATGACTGCACCCATGCGTTAGACGACGCAATCATGCACATGTAAAAGTTGAACAAGTTACAATAAATACCCCAGATACACAACGTTGGCTTTTCAGTCGTTTATCTGGCAAAGTCAGTCCAATTGCAGTTGGTTCGGTGACCAGCACACATAAAACTTGAGGCTGCGTCTTGCAAAAGGTCCCCCAAAATCGTGACTTAGGGATACCGGTACGGAAAGATCTCGACGGCTTGAGATAACCTGAAAAGGTGTTGACAATCGGCACAGACGGTTTGGTCGATTAATCCTTCTATATTTTTTAAATTCTTTATGCTAGGTGCGATCTCACGTGACATTTCTGGAGGAATTCCGATCACACTGCATTGAAAATTCAACAATGCAGGGCGTCTAAGCATGTAAATGGTATCTAATGTCTCACCTACGGAATTATAATAAATACCTTCGGAATATTTAGTGGTCGACAATGGTGCTTGCGGCAGCCACAAAATAGAGTACCAAATCCTAGGAGCCCGAACCTATCGCCTCGACCTTGAAATTAGCCATACTACCAACCTGAGGCGCCATCAACTAAAGATGCACACGTAGTGTAGCCGGCTTTTATGTCATCTTCATCATCCTTCGAGTACAGCAACCGTGAAACGCCTTCCTCGCGTGCTTTGTTTCCAGCCCCAAAAACGGTTTGAAAGCACATAATGAGATGTGCACTTTTCTAGCTAGTTTCAGAGGTAATTCGTCGTAGTTCGTTCTCAGTCAACGGTCTTTGTCACGTCTGGAAAAGCACGAGAGATCGCGGTTTCGACCTTCTGGGTCTTGTCAGTGGTGCACCTTCCTCAGACTCCTGACAGATCAGGACGTAAATGTGTATTCCGAAATTGGAATCAGGTTGTTCTGTGATTGTGAGCAATCACATCACGGTGAGTTCCCTGGTGCACACCCAAATCTATCAAAAAACTCCGCGCTGATGTTGCTATTTTAATCCTGGTATGCCATATGATCTTTCAAAGTTACCCGTTATTTGTCACTAAGCCCTTGCTCCACTGATCAGGCACAATAACTTGTCCTTTACCAACTAGGTGCTCCGAGTGAATAACATGTGGCCATTTGCATGTGATTGGTTTGCGTGAAATTTGGATTCAAAGAGGAAAAGATGACTGGTTCTAGCCACTTTCGGTGTCCAGCAACACCGAAAACTTTGCGCTTCGGTTGTAGTCACCGTGAGCACAGTGACAAGTGTTGGCTTCCATTTAAGTTGTGCGTCGTGATCAAACCAATTGGTTGACGCTCAGTTGATTAGTGCCTACTGCGTCTGTTTTCAATCACAAAGTCCCGCATTCCAATCCCCGCTCCTGATGTCCATACTTGAAGGATCCATTCTAGATCGAAATAAGTCGTGCATTGTAGTGTTGGAAGCGTGTAGCTCCAAAATCCTTTCGGTCGTTGGAAGTGCCTCGAGTAACAAGGTATTTCGAGGTTTATTTCAAAGCAATTTTGGATTGCTTGCGTAGTCCAAAAGCACAATGGGTGCTACAATGCTCAGCAAAAGATTGGTGGGGTTTACTTGACACATACTTGCAGAGGGTAGCGTAAACCCCACTCCTGTAAGAGCACTTTATTTTAGGTGCCTATGATAGCAACTAGTGGTGTTTACGCTGGTCCCCACGCCTGCCCATTGTGTAGTATCATAACAACCTCAACGTTCAATCGGTTTACGTCACCTAACCCAAAGAAAAAGCGGAAGCACGAGCTGAAATGATTTTGAGATCATGTGAAAGAAGTTATTATTAGGGTGGATTGTGCTCTGAATGAAAATATTGGTGCATATATTTCAGTAGGTTGCATGCTTTTTCCACTATCCTGCTTACGGTGCTAATCGACGGTAATTGATTGCAATTCAACCGTTCCCATTTACTCCATAGTATCTCAGACTTCCCAATCTAATTTGACAATCACTCGAAACAGTTTTCTCATATCAGAGCTTTAAAATATACAGTTATTTAACTAGGCTCATGCGCATTCAAGACCTGTGGACTCCGATGAAATGAATAATGAACCATAACTGGCAGTAAATTCAGTATAGCAAACAGGTTAAGTACAACACATGATAATAAATAACCGAAAACGAGCTTGTTTGCTATATGGACTTTGCATGAGTGATACCGAAATTGTTGACCATCTGAAATAGCAGTAAACCAATATACAATTCAAAGAGGATTTGTTCGAATTTTCACGTGTATCCTAAAATCCATTGGTGGTGCGCCGAGAACACTCGTCTGCAATTTAGCGCGCTGACATGCGATATATGCAGCCCTGCAGTTTGTTAAGAGCCATTCAGGAGGTTTTGAGCTCAGGGACGGAAGATCTCTATTCGGCTGTTCTACTGAACTTAAATGAAGGGAGCAGTTGAATCGGCCATAATGGCCACGTCGGAGTTCAGGTAATGCTTGAATCAAATTTGCTTTCCCCGGCGGTCTTCGAATTGCAATGCGAAATACGTCAAATGAACAGTCCCCACTTTGATACTGACACCGTCTGCACAGTTATAAGGGTGCGTGTGTAGAAATCCCCACTTGATTCGTAGCCTCATTACACGAGGCTCAATGTTTCAACAATCAGACGGAAAGTGTTCGATAGATACCGTGCATGTATCCATTAGGATGGACCGCTAGGAAAAACGTGAACAACGGACGTAGTGGAAACAGCGGATCCTCATGATCAACGCTCGGATAAATGAAAGCACTACGGCAATACGTTTCCAGACACCAGATCTAAACAAGTAATAGTTGGTCTGATTGTAAAGGCCAGTTTTGGTCTAACTACTGGCAGATCAAAATCAAATTGACACAGCGGTCGCTTGAGGTTAGTCGTTTTATATGGTTAGATAGGATTAGTCTCCAGCACTTGTTTCATCTACCGTTACCGCATGCTTAATCTAAACATTTCAAGTAGTAATGTGTTGTAACTAGGATTGTGTGCGGCAGTCTGTTGTGGTATACCGCGGAGCTCACGGCGCCCAAGAAAGCGAATAAACACACTCATTGGTAAGTACAGTTTAACGATTACCCATCACACCAGGTTAAAACTAACGCAGACGGCATTTGTCAATGCGGGTCTGACAGGTGAACTAAGTACACATATGGTAGAAAGCCATTTGTACATTATTACTCAAAGGTTTATACAAAGTCCGAAACTCATAGAGAGCTGCGTTTTCTTACCGAGCGATCGATAAAGCGCACTATCTGTCGAAATAAAAGTTATACTGTTGTCGGTCCAGAGCGATAAACGTTGAAGAGAAAGCACAGGAATATACGCTATGCGACTTTGCCTTTCGACTAAATGAAAGTTCCCCTCAAATGACTCTGCGGCAGTTACGAATATGGACAAACGACGCACAAAAGGTGCAATAATAAACAACGGTGTAATTACTACGCCGATAGAATGGGATGAACTCACGCTTTTCTCCATTGACTCTGTGCGTTCCAACAGCGCATCCAGTCTGACATCCTTTTTCGAAAGCTCTATGCATGTTCTGGCAAGCTCTTCGTGAACTCCCAAAACAGTCTCTCGGAGTTGACCTACACCGCTATCTCCAGCTATATCGATTGTAATCTGATTGAAATCGCTACTACCAATTCTTGGAGCTGCAGATTGCATGAATGTGCACAGTAAAACGTTGCACTTTGCGAGATCGAAGTACACGAAATGGTGAAAGTTGTGTAGCATAAAGGATATTCGACTAAGTCCATCGGTCTGACCTTGTTTGCACCTTTGCGATTGCTGTTATGTTGGCACAGTTAACAGGCACACGATTGTTCCACAAACATTCGTGATCAACCAAAGACACGTGGTGAAATTGGCCAGTCCGTGGATCGTGATTCGGTAGCATGGTGGTGTTGTTGACGGACGGATGGACGGACGGATGGAATGTGGCATGTGTAGCAGCAGCAGCCCAGAGACCAGGCGGATTGTGGTGTGGAGACTACGACCGACATACCTCAGAACGTGTATGATGTGTACCGCAGTCGGGAAACAAATTGGAGTGTCAGTGGAGTAGATAGATATTGAGCTAACGTTCGTTGCTCAGCGGGTACCTTGGATGCCTATTGTGTGTGAAAATTTGGCAGTTCATCTCGTCCGACAGATGTTTCTCTAAAGATAACTCATCCATCTAGGTAAACAGGACTATGTGAACTTTTTGGGCAATATAAAAATATATAGGTGTTGAGCACTTTTCTAATAAAACCTCTTACGTAGCCTGTTTAATGCTTCCTAAGGGTGCTTCTGGTCAATCACCGGACACGTAACGAGGAGGAAACATTTACTCATGCGCACCGCCTATATCATCAGATTATATTATTGTCTGATTTGCACCTATTCAGTTAGCATTCAGAAGTAATAAGCCCCAATATCCATGTACACTCGGCGGCTGCATGCATCACTAACTAGAGCCCAATCTCAAATGTTCAATTTAAAAAGAAGCTGCGACACCGCATAAAAAATCAATCTTTATTAGCATGTAGCAATTGTTTTACGAAACATGGTATAGTGGGGGCGATACGAACTGGAGATGGCAGACTTTTTAAACCCTAGATATGAAACAAGCTTGTACTATCTGCTAAGCGCAGATAACCTGCCCTACTTAGTGAGTGCAACTTCACAGGACTAAGAGGATTAGGGTCACTTGCTTGATACGCGGTGTTCCGCCGATTGCTTACAAGCGACCATACTCTATCTTGGTTCTGTACTCACTGCCAAGTAACAAATGTCCATTTCCAGGAATCAGTGTAACTTATGCTCGCTACTCGTCTGGATGGATGACATCGGTTCCAGTCCGACTTCGTTGTTTCGGTCTATCCGCTACGTGTAATCAGTAGGTTGATAGTACATGACTGATGTTGACGGACACCCGGTTGCCCCGGTGGCATGATGTTTGCCTTTTCTAAACAGCCTATTAGTGCCTCAGCAATGATTGGCTCCATCACCATTGAGAGCACTGGGAAGACAATCAGTCGGCGATAATTGGCAGGTTCCGAACGGTTACCGCCCTTAATAATATGGGTACCGCAATTTTCAGACGAGAAGACGAACTGGATTAAACGTAACTAATATCATATATAAGGCGCACCGAATTCTAAGGCGCACAAAGCGAAACAAAATAGTCGGATAGGTCAGACTTAATTCAACTCATTAACAATAACTGTCAATATTGTTCACTTTAACACACATGAAACACAGAAAAATACACTCACTTTTTCAACCATTCCTCTACTACAAATCCGTCAAATACTTCATCTTCAGTGTCAGAGCTTAACCGTTGGGCGTTAGCGACATAAAACAATCCCGGATCCCTCTCATCATCATCGGAGTCAGTCTCGTTGCTGTTGCTTGGCTGTTCATTGATGATTCCGGCCTTCTTGGAAGTTCAGACAACAGTTGAGACTGATACCTTGGCCCAGGCATTGACAAATCGTTGGCAATTAGTGGCGTAACTAGCCCTGCGTTGCCAACCCGTCTTGCTAAATCTATGCTCACATTCTGTCATCCAATGCTCCCACGCGGCTCGCAATTTAACTTGGAACGCCCTGTTGATACCAATATCTGGCGGTTCGAGTTCTTTGGTAAATTTTCCCGGAATGATGCCAAGCTCCGAATTAGTTTTCTTCACGGTGTTTGACAATTTAGGTCAGATGGGCGCACATGGAATCGTAGATCAATAAGGACGGAGATGTGTGGAAAAAGCCATGCGGTCTCCTGACGTAAACTTCTCTCAGCCACTCGCTCATTTTCTCCTCGTCCATCAAGACTTTTGGGTTGACCTTGACGAGGACCCCAACAGGAAACCTTTCTTTTGGTAAATTCTTTCTCTTAAAAATGACCAAGGCTAATAGTTTCTGGTCATTAGTCTGGTAACCGATAAACACAGTGAAGGATGATTTCTCGTTCCCTGTGATGTGTATACACATCCCAGTTTTTCAACAGTACGGTTCACGGGGATGTCAAAGCTGAGAGTAGCCTCGTCCAGGTTTGTGATGTGGTCTGGCTGGACCGTATTTCGGTTATCTTATTCTTGCAGTAAGTGAGGGATGGGTAACTTTTATTCGTAATCCGTTGGCAGTTACTGCGAGGTGGTAGTTCTTGTGCGGATGGAGAGATAACATCTTTTCATAAAACGGAAGCCCCAAGGACCTCCTTGAATGTCGTCCATCTTCATAACACGTGCCCTCGCTATTGCCTTGAATCGAATGGAGACTGTAGAGACACTTCCATCTGCTGTTCTATGATCAGTAATGCACTACTTAATTTCGTTCTCTAACTGTGGGCATATTGCTTTGTTCCCTTGGAAACTCTTCTTTGTTTTCTTTATTTGGCGTAGGTCATCTTCTCGCGTCTTCCACTTCCGTACCATCGATTCATTAATGTTGAATTGTTTCGCAGCTGCTCTATCCTCATGTTGCACTGCGCAGCTGATGACCTTGTTGAAATCCGCTCCGTAAGCATGTCTCTTAACAGGTGTCCTCTTGGGCTCTTAATTACCGGTACGTTGAAGTGCAGTACGTAGCAAGAAAAGCGGTAGGGATAAGCGAACAAGCTTCATGTTGATCGCCAGCATGAGACTGGCGTTGAAAAATGTAATCGTGTTTGGCCTCTAATTTTGACCAGATTGTACGTCGTCACGCATTTCTCCGTAAGTGCACTGTTACTCCCTCCGCAGTACACTGATGTGAGCGCAGACCGCGTGTTCAAACAGGCACCTGCAATCAGCGAGAAACAGGTGGGTGTTTTGGACAGAGTTTGCCAGGTGCATTGTTGGACCAAGTGAGTTTGCCGGGTGGAGTAACCATCACATGTATCACAGTATGGGATATCAGCGTGGAAGGTTGAACAGTTGGTTGGTTTCTCGTCGCCAGAAAACCTCGAATCATTTGGCTGCTGCGCAGAGTTCTCCACCCCCAAAACAAGTCTGTCTAGACAACATAGAAAGCTGACTCCACGAGGTTCCTGCTCAGCGATTACGCCTCCACAATCAGTCGTAACAAAGCATTTTGGCAGATTTTTCAGCGCAGTGTGAACATAGCAATTGATTCGAAGTTACTAGACCTCAGCAAAACCATTCCTACATAAGACGCACCGGATTATAAGGCGCATTGTCGATTATGTAGTAAATAGAAGGATTTTAAGTGCGCCTTATAGTCCGAAACTACGGCAATGATGCCCTATGTCTGTAGCTGATCCACTGCGCGATTGTACGAATTCGATGAAAAGGCAAGAGAGCTTGAAATGCCACGTCGTGTAGGTTGATTGAGTTTGTAGATGTACGCGTGTCATGAACGACTACTGGATATACTACAGTGGTATGGATAGGTAAAATAGGATACTGGAACAATGGTTACTGGTGAGCAAATGGCATATGCTTCGCAGCTCCCGCAGGTTAGTCAGAGAGAAAATAGTAAGGCAGTCTATATGCCTGCGAACAATCCATAACAGTAGGATGACAACATATTAGAGTGAAGCTTGTGTAAATGTGATCGTATCAGGCAAAATAGCGTAACAAATTCCTGTGAGTCAAACTACTTGTTAAGTACAGCCGGATGTTTTACCCATCAGTACCAAATGCAGTGCGTCAGCATGAACCATAACCGCAAATTAGCCATCGCAGAAATACACTCCAGAGTATTCGTTCACTTTATGAATGAAAGTTCACAAACCGCAAATTTGCCATTTTTACTCTTCTTTTAACTTGTAGCGCATGCCCATGGAGATATAAGTATTCAATTTTGCAAAGACATTTCTTTTCGATAATTCTTATCAGGCGAATACGTACTCAGGGGTTCAAAAGTAGGTATATAGTGATAAAAAACGGCAAACACTACAGTATTCAGTTTATTTATTATACACAAGAAGGAATGTTGCACAAATATGTAAAAATTGTACTAATAATGTATGAGATTGGTCCTCATCTTGTTGAAAATAGAAGACTTCATCTTGGTATTGTTCACCTACCTGTGGTATTATTGTATCCTTTAACGTGTACAAGTACACAGTTTGATCAGTGATTGCGTGTTGAATAATGCGTCCAACAACACCTTTGCAAGAAAGCCCAGCCCATATCGTTACCCCAGGTTTACCTAGTTGTTTCTCAAAAGTGAGGTGAAGGTTTCCGGTTGTATATTAAACACAATTGTGTCGATTAACAGCACCCGTTAATTTAACTTTTACTTCGTCGAAACCATACAATTTTGTTTAGAATACCGTCACCCTCAAGTTCCTCGCTCAGGATTTTTTCGGAAAATTGTAAATGAACATCCGAATCATCTTCCAGTAAACCATGTGTCATTCGAGGTGTATACATCTTTAGACTGGCAAGATTCATCAGGCGCCTCAATGAGCTGTGCTCAGATGAGGCCCTGTTTCGATTTCTGTGGGCTTTGAACGAATACCTGAGTAACTAGGATTTTGTTTTCCGTTCTGGTCACAGTAAACGGTCGACCACTTCTCGGTGCGTTGTGGGTGCTCACTGTCAGTTCAAATTGGTCATGTAGTCGATAAATTTTCTTTTTGGGGTGGTGCTGCAAAGATTTCTATTCACTGTTCTCTTACACGTTCAATATTTTCTGTCTTCCAGTATTGTTTTAAGATCCACTTGCACTGTTCATCAGTCAACTTACCGGCGTTGGTTAAATTGCCAATTTAAGTGAAAAAAATACAAGGAAATGATGACAAATACATGCATTTTATATAGGAAATTAC